CGTTGCGGATGGATCACCCGTCGACCGCGTCATTAGTGGACCTACGCACAATGCGGTGGTGGCCAAGTGTTTTGCAACACCACTCACACTGGAGTCTACCGCAGCCGCAACTACGATCACCGGTATCGTGCCTTTTACCGGCAAGCCCGACAACTACAGAAACCACTGTTTCAGATCCATACACCTTTTTCTCGGATGGAAACATTGGGACCACCTCTTCCAGGCCCTTGTACCAATACCACAAGATGGCCGATATGGAAATAAACGACACTGCCTTTTCCGCTAAAATTTTCAAGGGAGTCATCGTGGTCGATTATCAGTTGCAGGAAATCTCCACACGCTCGTCGAGATTGCCGCCTATCTCGAACAAACCGTTGTTATTGCCATTTGCGAGATTCATGAGCCCCACTATCTTGTGGGACTCTCCACGGGGAGCAATCCCACCAAAAGTGTCTACAAAGACGAACCATCCAAGGCTTGTCCTTTGTCTGAGGAGGACAAAGACAACAAATGGCTGCACCTTGCAAAGGATGACAGTGTCACAAATGGGAGAAGAAACGCTACTCGACAATATCATCCAAAACGCTCATTTACCCTTGCAAGAGGCGGGGTTCCCGGACGACGAGATTGTCATTGTCAAAAACTACGACAACGACAAACAAGGCAATGCCATCCAATGATGCATGCATCAGGTGCCCTCCTCGTCTGTATTTCCCAACTGGTCGACATGAGTCAGCAAAGTCAACGGATCATGCAAGGAATTGCTCAATCGAGCGGGTTCGGACTATGCGAAGGGATCTCAGCCGCAATCCAGCCTCATCCAGTGTTTGCGGGAGGCACACACTCAAGCATCGAGCAAAGCCAATCACCATACTGGATAGCTGTACGAGTTTCATTGGGAACGGTGATTTCTCTCAAGCACTTGATGGCTGTTTACTAGTTTAGTTTCAGACTGGATGGGGAGGATTTGACTTATTTGTTGCGACTTTGAATTCAATTCGGAAGATGCCTAGGCTCTGATTCCATGAATCGGATCTGTCTATTCAAAATACATGCAAAAAACACGCGCAGCCATCATTTCTTGCGTGGCCTGGAATCCGAGAACGCCTTAACCGTGCTTCTCGCTAGTCTCCTTGCCATTCTTGTTGGCTTTCTTGGCGACCGCGGGAAGATCAGTCTCCTTGGCGTCCACTTCCATCCAGCCCTCGTCTTCGATCGCTTTGGCGTCAAGCAAAGGTACCTTTTCGAAACCATCTTCCAAGACGCCAGACTCGCGAAGCCCATAGTCGGGCAAGAACTTTTCAGAAAAGTCGTCCAAGCTCAGAACATCCTCTTCCGCGCACACAGCAACAAAATCTTCCTCGCTTTCGTTGTTTGCTGCGCTCTTCTTGACATTCTTCTGGTTCTGTTGCTGCTTATCACCAAACGTAGCAACCTCGTCATCCATGCTCCACTGCTGAGGCAAGCGTTCGTACATGTCGGCGGCATATCCAGGTTTTACCGCCCTGCTCGGAAAAGAAGCCAAGTCCAGAGCCTGTGCCCTGAGAATCGCGCGCTTCTTGATAGACTTATTTCCACCAAAGGCGGACACATAGTGCTGGGGGTCCGGATAATGAGCGACATAGACTTGCTGCAAAGCAATACGATCCAAAGCCTTTTCGTTCTTGTTGCTTCGAGCCTTCTGTTCCATTTGGATAAACTTTTGTTTCTGCTTTTCGCGGCGAGGATCATAAGGGGCGCAAGAGAGCGTAGACGGGGAAGCCTCTTCCTGGCGTTGCTGAAAGTGCAAGAGGCGAGATTCCAAGGAGCATTGACGCTCAGGAGTGGTTGCTTCCACCAAGAGCGCCTGTGTGCGTTCCAATTGACAAGAGATGTGCCCTCCAGGGCCAGCATCCATCGCTTGGCGCTTCTCCATCCGTTTGCGCAGCAATAAGACCTTGCGCTTCTCCAAGTCTGCACGCTCGGTATCATCATTGACCAATTTCAATTGAGTGTCGATCATTGCCAACTTTCTGTTGATTCCAGGAAAGGAGCCTCTTTTCATAGCGCGGTTCTTTAGCTGCTGCTGCTTCCTAGCAAGATTGGCTTCAACCTTTGCCTTTCGTTGGAGCAAGTATTGTCGCTGACCCTCATTGGTTACAGTCTTCAACTTCAGGGCAATCTTAATCAAACGCTGTGTCACCTTCGGAAAGGCAACAATCAACTGCGGATCCACTTCAGGCCCAGAGAAATCTTCCTCCTTCCTCCTTCACACCATCCAGACCCACCTGGGTGTCCTCTTGTTTGGCTTCCTTTCTGAGGCTCTCCTGCTTCCTTGCAAGCTTGGCTTCTACCTTGGCCTTGCGATTGAGAAGAGCTTTGCGCCTGTCAGGATTCTTCACTGTCTTCAACTTCAGTGTGATCTTAGTCAACCGCTTGGTCACCTGAGGGAAGGCAGCAATCAGTTCCTCGTCAACTTCAAGCTTGCCAACATCTTCTTCCTTCTGGTCTTCTCCTGCGTTGTTTGTTACCTTGGGTGCACTTGCTCCAGCCTCGGCAGACGAGAAGGAAGTGTTGGGCTTCGGGACATCCACCTTCATCCACTGCTCATGATCATCGGCCGAGCTCACTACTCCACGACTGGTATCCTGCTTGTTCTCCTTGTTTGCCAACTTGGCTTCCAATTTAGCCTTGCGTGCTTCCAAGTTAGCACGAGCTGAGGGGTCTTTCTCCTTCATCAATTTGGCCTCGATATTGGACAAGCGTCGCTTGATGTTCTGGCACTGCTTGTTGGCCCGCATCTGCTGCTTGTGAGCCAGCCTGTCTTGTACATTGGCCTTGCGCTTCTCCAGTTCCGCACGACGAGCTGGATCTTCTTCCGTCTTCAGCTTTTCTTGGATGATAGCCAAGCGCATGGCCAACCCAGGAAAAGCTGGCTGCTTGCCTTCCTTGGCAAAGCCCTCGGCGAGTCCCTGCAGCATGACCAGACGTGCTAGCAGCTTGGCCTTCATCTTGGGCCCCAACTGATCTTGCTCCAAACGACGGGTAATCTTCACGATGCGCTCTTTGGGCCCCATGTTGGCGGCGTTGCTCTTCTTGAGTTTCGTTCCCATCTTTTTCCTTCTTGTTGACGGGATTGCGGTCAACAACAACAAATAAGCAACAAGGATGGCGATGATCGATGAGTGCTGAGAATTTGGAAGTGAGAGAGATCGTCGAGAGGCAGAACGGAAGGCACGATTCAGCGAGGTCGAGTTTACGTCATAACTGGATCTTCCGCACTTTTTTGGATCCTTTTATTTTCGGTCCGGGATGAAGGGCAGACGCAGATTGGACGAGTTAAACTTCATACCACTCTGCATCTGGGCACCATGGAGCCACGAAGCCGAAGCAGCTGCTGCAACTGAAGAACTCGACAAATCCTTCCTAAACATTGCTCTTGATTGTGTCCTAGAGCACTATCTGCCCCCATTAATTTGATCAGACAGTTTTATACTATCACAGATGAGTGGCAACAGCTGATTGGCTGCCGGGATCTGCTGAAATCGCGAGGTGATGCTTTAAAAAACTCAAACATAGACAACACTTTCAACGCCACACCGAAAGAATCCTAGCTCCTTTGGGTTGCAGTGGTTGATCCATCCATTCTCATGTCTCTTCGAAGCATGCAGGCTAGGAAGAACGGTCATCTTGCCACGGCTTGCACCACTATACCAAGCTTACTGTCTACACATTCATTTACATACACAAAAAAATGTGTCGAGAACAAATTGATCTTGCCAAGTTTTTCGGATTACCAACGGTGCCTCAGGAAGATTCCTCCTCGATGCCGCTAGATTGGTCGGGCAAAATCGTAAGGCTAGAGGTACCACCATTAAGACAGCCAAAGGCGTACCGGTAACCATCAGTGGAAAAAGATGATTGCGGAACTCCACCACAAAAGGCATATAGACGCAGGAAGTCAGGAAATTGACGGTTGTTGGTGAATGCTAGAACATTCCAAAACAACTTCTCGGGGGGACCTTCTCTTTGGAAAACAATTGTGCTTTCATTGGTGTCGATTCGAAACTTCAAAACTTCTCCATCCAACCATGGTTCGGAAATTTTGCGACGCGACCAGGTAGGCACTCCCCTGGCACCGTGCGAATAGGGCAGTTGAGTCTGCCTCTTGCTGTCCAGTAACCGGTCCCAATCGGCTCCCTGCGCCATAACTGTTCCATTGCTGTTGAACTCAATCTCGCCAACGATTATTCCAGCTTCAATCCTGGTCGGCGTGGGCAGTGTGGCGGTCGTCTCTGTAGCGTTCTTGTACCTGACTTGCAGACAATAGATCCCCGACTTTAGTTTGACCTTCGGATCATTGTTGAATACCAACTCGGGTAGAAGACTTCTCTGACCGTGATCGGTGGTCCACGCTGGAGATTCGATGATGTGCGAAGTATAGAGTCCGTGGTCATCTCCGAAGAGAATAGACATGCCTTCACTCATGTTGCCGGTTGTTGGGTATGGACGCGCTTGAATTACCAAACCTGTATTGTCTATGCCAGCAAACATGGGAAACGAGGGAATCAAGCTACAGTGAAAGGAGGGGTGCCTCTCGAAGCTTTCTCGTTTGCGCTTTGCTTCCTGAGATTCCACAAACTTCCACGATCCAGTGACCACTCTTTCGAGCCTACCTGTGGATGCGGCCCCTCGCCCTCTCCTCCCATTGTTGGAGCCAGTACGACCCAAATTCTCAATCCGACCAAGCCTTGCATCGATGCTTCTAAGGAGTGATGTTTGTGTTGCCAATGCACTATTTTGGGCCTTCAGAGCCTCTAGAATCTGTCTGTTGACAGACATCGCCTCATCATTCACCGCTGGCTCCAACCGTTGTCTTTTGAGCACTGCGTCTTCGTCTTCATTGGTCCGCTTTGACATTGCTGCAGCTGCCACTTTCGAAGCTCTAAAATCAAAAGTGTTGAATACTGCCATAGGATAGATTGCTCATGCCGACAACACCAGAGTGAAAATTTCCCGCGCCGTACGAAAGGCATCACCGATCGTGATAGTCCGCCACCACGGTTCCACGCTGGAGAGAATTTCCACGGTCAGTCGCACATGCATTGCTACGAGTACAGAATTATTTCCAATCCAAGTCGCAGCACTTGTAGTCGCCAGAAACAGAGCAGCAAGCAATGTATGTTGGCCACAGCTATGGCTAAAATAGCTAGATTGGTTGGTTCGCAATGGACAGCTATCAAGGTGCTACATTATCTAAGGATGAACTCTTGCACTGGACCACCGTGACAGAGAACAATCTATGCATACAGATGTCGTACGCACAACTCGAAAAACTATCTGAGCACTTTAACCTACATGGGCTGTGGAACATTTGGATCATAGCCACACATGTTGACCCACTGCCCCTTGAATAGATTTCCCATTAGTCCCTTGACACACTTTCGACTCTTGCACTCATGCTCATTGTTGCACAAGTCCCCTACATTTTTGCGGGGATAGCACATGCCAGAATGGCATGCAAACTCAATGTACGATCCGCAGTCAGAAGGCCCCGAACACATGGGAGCATCCACTTCCATTTGGAAGGATGCCCTTGAAGTGTTTTCGATATCTTCCCGATCTTGCAAGATCCAGAGGTTGTTACCAGACTGGCTCTGGATTGCATAGGTTCCTGGGTGTGCGATGGACTCAAGGCTTAAATGATGGATCCAGTTTTCAGGGATCAATCCTGGGCGCTTTATTATGGTGCGGAGCAAATCAAGGAGAAAGATCAGATCCGTCGTATGATAGACGCATTGTAACAGTTGAATCTCACGAAACGCCAAGACTTACCAAGCAGAAGGAAGCATCCTTGTGAAACTGAGGCGTATCCTGCAGATCTTCCAGCGCCAAGGTTTCTTCGTCTGACTTGACACGCACAAACTTGGTTGAGTCTGTAGCTGGAGACAGGGAAACACACATGTCACGGCCGCAGGCATTGTAGGTTTGCTGGCTCTCATGGAGGCATTCCACCATCACGACTTGCTGCGTGGCCATGTTTTCGACCTGGAACTCCAAATTATGACCTTGGAACAGAAACGGCATATTGAGGATTGGTGATCCAGACGTAAGAATGCGCTAAAGTGGGATCATAGCGAAAAGCGAATGGTGACAACATGAGTGCACGGGAGGATGAGAAGCCGCTACGGTGCCATCGCACAAGTGTTTCGTAGCATTGCTGTTCCGTCTATACCGTACCTGTCCTTTGATCTCTGGTTCTTCGTCTTCTTGGGGCTCTTCTGGCTCCTCCTTGTTCGCCTTGACAGGCTCCGTCGCCCTTGTCTTCTCCATCTTTTTGGGTTGCCCCCCTTCCTGTTCCTCGGCAAGCTCCCAGCTGAACTTGAAGTTCCTGTCAGGGACGTCTCTTACAAGATAGTCCATGATTTCTTTCATTTCATTTCGGATGATCTCATCAATATCCGAGTTGGGTTGGCCGCCCTTTGCATGACCATCAGCATTGGCTCTCGGAACGAGATAGCAAGCCACCAACAAGAGGAGTTGTACCAGTACAAGTCTTGTCATTTTATCTGATTTCTTCCTAAATTTATGTGCGGAAAGGAGGCAGCAGCACCGGTGCTGAATGGATCGAAGTGACCACCCGAGCTGTATGCAAGCCCGTTGGGAGGGAAGAAAGATACTGAAGTGAGCATACGAGTAGGCCCTTTCCATGCAGGCATTTTCGAACCTCTTGATGTGAATGGTTAGCCCGCTGTCTTCTGCATTCATCCGTAGGGTACAGCTATACCTTGAATCGAATCGATATGCTTCCTCCAGTCCGCCGGAACAAGCATCCATTCATACGGTAGGGACTACCACTCAGGGCCGTGCCACAAATCGTGCATTTCAGGGGAATACAGAATGTGGGGTATACATGGAGTCTAAGGTCTAAGTGTTCCGATCGAATTACGGCTGGGTAAATTTTAAAACTCTACCCTAAATATAAAAAAACTCTTACCCCATCGGTTACTATAATAAATAATAAATGGTAGAGCTCTACTGGTACAGGTACCCTCTACACGTAGCTAATAGAGGTTAGGGTAGAGTTCACCGCACAGCCTACAGTATGCATAAATCGTTCCTATATCCTACCCCAATGCATGATTGAGCCAACTCCAGGTAGGAGCAGAAGCTGTTGTACATTACTCACTCGCATTTAAGATAAATGGGTTTAAGTTCGGGAGTGCTCAAGTTTGCAGAAATGTTCAGCAGATAATCTCTCTGGCTCAAAAGACACTCAGATTTCTCAAACCTGTGGATATGCAAGGAGTACCAATGCCTCAAATCCCAAGCTAATACTACTACCGTACTATGTGGGGAGTGAGGGCAGCTAGTACTGGTACCCACACTTTTCCACATCACCATCTACCTCCAAGTCCTCCATACTGGTATCCCCAACTTGGGGTGCCTCCTTTACCACAACAGCCAGCATCTTTTGGTTTCATCATTTTTGGCTTTGCACCTTTGCCTTCTTGGGCTTTGGTGCTGGTTTCTCACTGTCTGCCTGAGGGCATGGTCAGTAGTATATGGTATATGACAATAGCTGGTAGTAGTTATAAGATATGAAAGATACTGAGATTGGGCTGCTTTTTTAAAGATAAGGACTGAAGTGTGGCTGTTTGATGAATCCTTTAATAAGATACTTCCAGCAAAGATCTCAGAATATAATTATCTAATCAATGAGGTAGGAGTACAGATCTGTTATGCCTGAACGCCCGTGCAAAGCAGAGCAAAGGGCATGGGATATTAATTCATTTTCACTTAATGAGGTCATTGTGCGCTCACAAAACCTGGCCTAGTAGCTTGGTTGGTATTTACTGCAGTAAATCCGGGTTACTGGCTCCTTACTGTCCAATTACTGCCATTGTTGGCCACCTAATTACTGCAGTAAGTAATCCCATGCAGTAAGTAATCTGCCTTTGCAACAGTAATATCCAGTAAATGACAGTAAAAGCACAGTAATTAGCCTTTATTACTGCAATTACTGTAGTTTACTGCCTTCAATTGGCTTTAAATTACTGTGCATAATTACTGCTACTGAGGAATTACTGCATTACTGCCATTACTGCTCCTTTTACTGACCTCATGGCAGTAAGGAATAAACAGTAAATACCAACCAAGCCTAGTAGCTAGCTAGGTAGTAAAACTAACTGTATCAGCTCTGTTTCCCATACTGCTCTTGAGCACATAAGGCCCTTTTCAAGCAGCAGAACAGTAAAGAATACCGGTAGTCAATCAATGTTTTCCCCTTCGGTGTCAGAAGAAGTATTACGTTTGTGCTCTGGCGCCTTGGAAGCACAAACATAGAAAAAGACCGCATTGTATAACGCAAGGTTTGAGGGAAGCTGTGAGATAATAAACTTGAACTGACGGCCAGACGTCAAAAGAATTCAATGCTGTTAGATGTGCCACCCTAGTCAATAGGTGAGGGAGCTGCTTTGGGTCAATGGTGAAATTTTACAATAAGATGCTTGCCCCATTTGCCAGGATCACGGAACCAGATTCTTCTGCATGCAATACATTCACCCTATCTTTTCTCTCCGGAATTGCAAGATCGAGGCGCGGTGGCAACAGGTCTCGAGTCCCTGAATTGATCTCACAATCTCAAAAGCTGAACCCCCGAAAAGCAGCAATAGCGATTGAACAGCACAGTATCCTACCGTACCGATATCCGCACCATCCACAGAAAAAATCTTTTCCCTCAAACTAAGATCCATCCACTGGCATGCGGTATCTTCCTTCCAAGTTCTGCGTCTTGGCCCTTTCTTGGGCCATTCTGTTCGGCCATTCCCTTGGAGACTCCGTCCTTCCCAGTGTTGGTGACACGGATTCGACGCTACAAGACCTCATCCCATTCGATGCCACGGAAGAGGATGGCATTACTGTCACGGAACGTGTCCTCTCCATCGATGTCGACGACAACAACAGTACTGACGTCGTTTCCTTGGATATCGAAATTGATGATATCGAAGACGACGAAGACTTTGACATCGACTCCTTTGACGTTGCGGCATACTATCAACAATACATCAACAACAGTACCCACGAGGGAAAGAACAAAACGGATTCAGACTTTGAACACTCTGGGGCCGACGTGGATCTCAATATTGACGTCGATCCGAACGACTTTGATTTGGATTCCTTTGATGTCGCAGCATTTTATGATGACTACCTCAAGATTCACAACGCAAGCAGTCTAACCATGCCCTCAAGTGGCTTGGATCCTGCCATTATTGCCGATATCCAATCCAGGGGATCATTTAAAGATCTCAAGGACATGGTCTTGGAAATTGTGACACACTCAGACGAACAGGATCTAGAGTCGCCCCTCTTAACAGACATCCTCATCAGCCTAAGTACCAGCTTGGGCTATGAACCTTGGGTCCTCCAATTCTACCTTGAAACGTTTCCCAGCCAAGCTGAGGACATCGCTCTGGCTCATGCCAATGCTGTGCAGGAGGTCAGGGAAAGAAAAGTTAAGGTGTTGGTGAACCTTTTCTTGCACACCATGCTCAAGGACTTGAAAAAGGGAGTTCCCATGGAAAAGATTTTGAAAAGCCTGGGCATGGAGCAACATGAGCTGGATGAAGCGCTCGAAGCCTACAACCACCCAGATGTCATTGAAGCACTGGAGAACGCTGAGGCGGAAGGAGCCAACCATGCATCCCACTGTATGTATACTGACAAAGGGATGAGGAACATGCATGGCACCATACAATATCCTAATCATTCTGTTTCTTTTGCGTTCGTCTAATGCACAATTGGTATAGTGAACGACAACAATGGATCTCCTGGACTATTGACAAGGAAGCTGGCAAGCGATGAGGTCAGGGAAAACATTGATGCACAGGAGGCCGAGCACCATGAAACATATCGAAAGAGAAAAATGCGTCGAGCTGACATTCTCAAGTCCACAAAAACATTCCTTGTCCGAGTTGAGGATCACAAGACTTTTGTGCACCACCATGCTCGCAGACTGACCAACTGCGATGATATGACTGAAGAAGAGTGCGACGCTGAAACTCTTGATGACATGACTGATGACTTGCTTACTCTGTCAGGCCTTGTTGAGACAGCTTTGAACCCCATTCTTGAATTCTTTCATGTTTTTGATAAGATTGAAGACAAGCTGGGCAGTGTTAAGCTTGTTCTGATGACTGTGAGTGACTGTCATCTCTGTTTGCGTGCTTGCTGCTTTCCCTACTATACTTGCTTTCTCTGACCTTCTGCTTGCTTGGGTATTGGCACCTCTTCCTTCCCACTCCCTTCCCACTCCATTTTCAGTTGAGTATTGCCTGTAAGTTGTGTGCAGGATTGGGAGCATATGCCGAGTTAAAAAATCTGTCAATTTGTTACTGACACATGCTTGCTGTACCGCAGTGACTGCTTGTGCAACTCTTCTTGATCCATACTTTGCTGGAATCTTCACCCAGCTCAAAAATGTTGTTGATCTTGTCAAACCCAAGACTGACACTATTGCCAACAAGGCAGCAGATTTTGAGGATGAGTTTATTGAGAGGTGGAACTCAACTCTGAATGGAGTCACAACAATGATGGACACATTCACAACTGTTACTGAAACAGCAGCAGAAGTTGGAGGCTTCTTGGTTGGTGTCACTCAAAACCAATGTGCTAAGTCCATGGTTGATGGCCTTCTTCCTGGCATGATTCGCAGAGCTCAGACAGGCCTTGGTCATTTTGTTGATGGGGCCAAGGACATTGTGAATGTTATGGGAAACCTGGTCTCTGCGATCGGTGGAGCAGCATGGAAAACCACGTTCACAATTTTGAAAGCTGTTGTAAGCATTGGAGAGTTTTTGGCTCCATTCTTCACCCCTCTGGCACCCATTTCTGTGATCGTGACTACGCCCCTGTACTTTCCCTGGGTTGACCTCAAGGTTCCAAAAGTGTTGGGAAGGGCAAAGTGTACGAACACTGATGACAAGAAATTCGATAAGGTCCTTTCAAGTTGCTGGGAAACGGACAGTCCCAAGTGGAAATTGCTGGTCCTCCCCCCTTTCCACATGCAAAAGAAGTGTAGCAATGAGGATTTGCCCACATTCATGACCGGTGTGTGCAAGCTGCCAGGGAGGAACATGGAATCACGGTCTCGAAGCGAAACACAACGTGTGTGCGTCAACGTGAATGAGCGGGTCTGTGCCCGGGTGAACGAGCAGGTCTGTTTTACTGTGAGAATAAAGAAATGCACAAGAATAGCAGGAAGGAGGAAATGTGTTGGTAGAAACATCAGAAAGTGTGACAGAGTATCGGTTGATAGATGCAGCACTGTCAGCGTGAGAAGATGCGATCAAGTGACTGTCAATATTCCATATTTGGCTTGGTAAGCAAGTTGCGAGAATGCTGTCTGCTTTTACTATACTACTTGCTTTGATTCAATCAGCTTACCCGTCCTATCCTCCTCTTTTAAAAATGAAACTTTCAGCCCAAGTGGGACCCAGTGGTTTGTCGATAAGTGCTACGAAGGCTGCCCTGGAGACTTCACCAGAGACCCTGTCATCCGAAACTTGTGCAATACTCCAAGGCGGGATCAGAATGTAAAGCTTGCCAGCTGCAGCAGCTACGATGAGCCATCCAATTTGGGACCGCTTGGAAACTGCTGGGCAAAGTGTCCCAGTGGTTACACCAATCTAGGGATTCTCTGTGTTAAAGCAGGTACATTCAAATTCACAATCCAAGATGTCTTCGAAAAGGCTGAAAAGCTCCTTGAGGATTTGACGGGAAAATGGGTAGAGCGAGTTGAAGATGGTCTGACAACAGTGCTGGAAACAGCCCTGGGATTTTTGACTGGACTCATCGATGAGGTGACAGGAGCTGACTTCAGCTTTAAAGTTCCAAGTAAGTTCTTACTCCCCATTGGTTTCCAGCAATATTGACAATTGTATGGAGAGGCTACGATGGGTTAGAGGGGGAAGGCACTACATGCACTGATGTTTTCTCTTAAATTGTAAACTCCCCCAGACTTGTCCTTCAATGTGGACAACCTGCTGCCGTTGAATCAGATCAACCTCAACGTCCCATCATTGCCATCCACAAACTTTGATATTGCTGGAAACCTGCTGAACAAGGTGACCAGCAAGTTGCCATCCAATCTGATCAGCTGTGGTACTGATGCTGACTGCCTTTTAAGCCAAATGAACCTTCCCTCAGTGGATGAGATTATGGAGAAGATTGAGAACCTCTTCACTCCAGAGGACCTTGAAGCTGTTTTGGATGCCTTTATGGAGGTAGTCCCCAGCGTCAATTGCAAGGCTTGGGATGAAACCAGCATTCCACTGGGCGATGCTTTCGAGGCACTTACGGAGCTAAGCTGCAGTGCATGCAACGTGAAAGTTCCCATATGTGCGGACATGGGAACTGACTTCCTGGACGACTCAATCCAGAATGTGCTTAACTCACAGGTCCAGCCTATTGTGATGGGAGGGTGGGGAAAGATCAAGGAGTTCTTGGCTCCGTGGGCTGAAGCCAGAAGACTTCTTGGTGATGATGTTGTCCGACGCAAGCTTGGTGGGTACAATGACGTCAAAAAGTGGCAGCCTATTCTTCCAATCACGGTTCCAACCAGCTTTGGATGGGATGAAACCGCAGCAAACCAGCGCACTGGTAAATGGGAATATTACCTCATGGCTGATCATGGCCATGAAGGTGGTGTGCAGGGTGCCGGGTACATGTCAGGGTCCTACGTTGCGCTCAACCTACGTGTCAAAATTGAGTTTGGTTTCAGTTACATTGACTTTTATGACATGATGACATTTGATTACAACCCCTTCAATGATTTTGGTATGAAGTTTGGTTCGGAGTTTGAGCTCAAGTTCAGTACAACTGGAGATATTGTAAGCTGGTTCTGTTCTCCAAGAAAATGTTTCATTTCTCCCTTTGGTTCTTACACTGTCAGTCTTATTCTTTGCTTGCTCTGCGCCTTAGAATGCTCTGCTGGACAGGCGTCGGCGATGGGTTGAAAAGATCAGAAACATTGACGAATCGGATATATATTTGAAAGGGGATGAATGCTTCGAGCTGGAAGACCAATATTTGTATGACGTGGATGGCATGGCTGGAGATGGGACCAAGCTAGCTTATCACACTTCCCTTGACGATGTTCTTCTTCAATTCGTTGAGAATGGCGACTTTTGGTACACTGTGTGCAAACCTCTCGAGGAGGCCAGGGATATGGTGTGGGAAGAATACAAGAAGTACGATTGCGAACCAGAGGATATGCTGAAGACTGTAGACCCACAGAATGAAGAAGAACGCAGGAAGGCCATTCTTTGTGTCAAATACTGGTATGATACCAAACGTGAGGTGGAGGAGCTCATTGCCAAGTATTATCGGCTAAAAGATGAGGCGTACACGGGCATTGCCGTGGCCAAACCCGGATTCTTTCGTTCATTGTGGGGATCTACCAAGGAGGCTGTGAAGTACACTCTTCATCCCAAAAACTGGCCCCTTGATTCCTACTACTTCCTCAACATGGGTAAGTTGTGGTTGTATGCGGTTGACATTGAATTGCGTGCATGGACACATTTCTGACACTGCCTCATTTTGTGCCCACAGCTGTTTCAGAGATCATGGGCGACAGTCGTGGCCTACGCCCCCGCATGTGGGTCAGAATGGTTTGGAGCCCTGTTGACTTTTTTGAGATTGGACCTACATTCCAGTTTGATTTTGACGATGATGGTCTGCAGCTCTATGGCCTTGGTGTGGGTTCCTTCACGATTGATTCCGCAAAAGTCTTGCGTCGAGAGAGACAGCTAATGCAATCTCAAGCGCCATTGAAAGACAAAGACGGCAATGAGATTGAACGCGGAGTCGGCACAATCCCTATTGTTTCTTTAAATGCTGGTATCTGGTGCCATGTCGACTTTGCCCCTGGCAAAGGAAAGATTCGGGATGGCTTTTGGTGCCCAGGTTTTGCGACGTAACCAGAATGCACTGGCTTTATTACCATACCGTAGGTGCGAACTGACGCAGACGGCTCCCTTCTCAGTACGACGAGCAAGTCCGAGGCAAGCAGTTCATCATGTTGGCTGCTATCGAGTCAATCTGTAACGTAAAACAATCTCTTGCTACATGTACCGATGGAACTCTGCTGCAAGCCATACCGGTATAGCCGTAGGTAGCTAAAAGTAAGGTAAATGGCTGTGTCGCGCAGATATATCGTCGCCCAATTGTAAGGGAACAACGAAGAGGAATATATATGTAGCCATGTTCACGTTAGTAAACGCCAACCAACAGACACCACAACATGACGTCTCTTGCGTGGCTTGGACCATCCGGTTCTCCCTGCACACCGGGAGCATACAAGGCCTTGTCACTCTCTTGGGACTGTGTCTTTTGCGTGGAAACGTTGGACGTTCTCACGCAACTTGAAGACAATTGACGACCCTCAAGCATATTGGAGCCGTCTCGACGATCTCTCTCGATCGGATCCTCGCTGTGGCTGTAAACGGGGAAAGTTACTATGGGTTAGAGAGAGCTAAGATGAGGATGGGGAGCGACAGAGAGGGGAGGGCACGATGCAGGAATGCAAGGCAAGCCAAGCAATCAAGTGCACAAGCAGGGCAACATGGAGACCATGGAAAGGGGGGAAGGCAGGAGGGCAGGGAGGAGCGAAGGAGCAAGACTAGTGGAAGGGATCGAGGGCATCCTCGATGTGTGCCATGCATGGTAGCATCCAGTCGACATCGGGTATGCATGGGGCGACCGTGGAATCTCAATAGCCTGTGCCCTATCAAGGCTCGATCATAGCCTTAACCCCATATTTTCCTCAACTAAGTTAATTGTCCTGGGAATGGCAAAGGGCCCATGCGGCTATGCATACAAGCCATGCTAGTAGCTTGGAGCATTGGATTATTCGAGTATTACACCTTTCTAAAGAAGAAGGTCAATGATTTTTTATTAACATGTTTTGTTGTTTTATGGATTGTTGTTACAGTACATGCTTGACAGGCCGGCCAGGACACAAGTTAGTTTCGTGACGTTCTCCTCCAAGTTTTGGCCACCGAGGAGGAGACGCCACCAAAATGCCCATTGGTGGATCCGGTCAATCCGGACATGTTGAAGGTGGAGGACTGTTTCTTGGTCAATCCCTGTACGGCAAAGGTGCAATACTCGATATCTTCGGCATCGCCCATCAATGCCCGCTCCAAGACAATTCCGTGCACGCCGTGTTGTTGCTTGAGTGTTTTTCCGGTACTAATTTCGGCATTGTCGTGTTGCATGGCGGGCATGGCGGCCAGGACAATCGAGTTTTTGTGGTTGTTAACGGCGGAAAGAATCGAGTCGAGATTGTCATTGTCGTTGTTGGCATCCACCAAAAAGCAAACGGATTGGTCATTGTCAGCTCTTGCCAGTACGTCTTGCACTTCTTGTTCCGATTGCACCAGGTAGATGACTCCCACCTCATCATTTTCCGGGGCTTTGAATTCTGCCGATGCCGGTACCACCACGGCATCGACTCCAGCTTGTACGGCTTGTTGAAGCAAATCGTCCGTGCTAACACTCGCGCGATTGTCGTAAATGACGGGACAAGGTCCTGGAAAATTCCCTTTTGCCGAGGCTTGTTCTTGCACTAATTCGTGTGCCACCTGTACATCGGAGACCCACAACGAGTTCACCTGGAGTTTGCGTGCTTGCATCGACAGAGTCCCCAATTCGCCTGCGTCCAAAGTTTCGCCGCCAGCGTATTCCAGATGGACCGTCAGCGTCTTGCTGGCCTTTTTCAAGGCCGCCGCCACGTGGGATGGAACCGACGACACGGCGGTATGTTCCGCCGTGGCCGACATTGCAAGGGCCGTTGGTCGTGTCATAGTCGGGGCGATCGAAAATGCCGAGACAACGCCAGCGTTCAGCAGAGTCGCAATGGACACCAAGACAACCAGACCATCTCGAAAGCGAATTGGATGCGGGAAAGTCATTTTTGTTTCTTTTTGCAGATAGTACGGTACAGTCCTGTGCTGATTTTATGGCTTGCATAAAACTGAAAGTGAAACCAACAATTGGGTTGCGGAGAAGAACAAAACATCACAAGCTTCGAGCGTCATTGTTTTATTCTGTTGCTTGGTGATCGAGTGTCGAGGGTACGTCAGTGTTGCAAAACCCTAATGAAATTGCTGCCACTGGACACGGGATATTGGTCCAGGCACCACATACAGTCAACATTCAGATATATATACTGGGGGGGATTCAGGAATTCAGTAAATATAACAGAGAGAATAAATATTGATTTTATCCCTAACCCTAACTATTCCCGTAGAATTGTACGTGCTCTAGTACTAAAATAGGGTTAGAGTTAAAAATGTGGGAACTGGAGTATTCTTAAATATTATAGAGCGAATAAATACAAGATTATAAATATAAGCGAGCGTTGACTGTACAACAGCTATTACGAAAGTCGCGATTGAGTCGAGTCGAGTCGAGTGGCAGTCGAGTGACGAGTCATATAATCATTCCTGGAAAGGGGGGGTTAGAGCATCTACTACGGGGGCCAGTCATGCATATGCATATTTAAAAACAAAGACTAAGTAGATACGTTAAGGAGCGAGGGGGGCTAAGCTAGGATGAGCGGTGGCATCGGTGGTGTGTACCAGGTAGTACTGGGAGAGCGGGGAGGACAGAAGCAGGGCAAAAAGGAGCTAGGAGGGGAGGGGACAGCATGGAGCAAAAGAAGGAAGTTGAGGGCAAGTCGAGAGGGAGTAAAAGGGGGCAGGATTAGCGGAAGAGTGCAAGTGCACCATCGGCATCCCAGAGAGAACGGCGGCAGCTCATTGTGCCATCAGGGACACGAGAGCCACCCATGCAGAGGTGGTATGCATAATTTTAAAAAAGCAAAGAAGAGTCAAAATTAGTGCACTCATCGATCAGCCTACTAGCTTACAGTCGTAGCCCCCCCTCTCCTTAACGTATCTGCGTTTCTCTCATGCATGCAGTGCCTCCGGCCATCAACCCCACTGCTATCTCGAGCTCGGTCTATCTAGAGTATCCAGACTGCTCTTTGGTTCTTCGGACCATGTCAACTCTTGGTCTTGCTAGTCCCAATAATAAGTCTGCTCCCAAAAAGCAAAAGCTGCCTCAACCCTCGCAAGCACTATTGCTCTTACTGGAACACAATAAGGATAATATCTTGGTCAACAATGTCTTTTCGTTTGTAGGAATGGGGCATTATGCCTTTGTGGGTGTTGTCAACAAAAAATTCAACAAACTCTACAAAGAGTACTGCGACAGTGTGCCAGAGGAAGATCGTCCAAGTGTCATGAGACATGACGAGGATGAGCCAGCAGAGGAAGATGGATGTCGTCCAGCAACCAGCACAGACACCATCCCAAGGGCCGCGTTCTGCAGCATTTCCTGTGCAGAATTCTGGCAAGCTGACAGCTCAGAGAGGAAAGCACCAGATGAAGATGATGTTTGTAATGCCATTGCCAGTGTTGGGTATATTGCAGTTCTTCAATGGGCTCAGGAGCAAGGATTCCCGTGGGATGAAAATACATGCTGGTATGCTGCTGAAGGTGGTCATTTGGAAACCCTGAAATGGTTGCGCAAGAATGGGTGCCCATGGGATGAAGATACGTGCCTGGGTGCTGCTGTAAATGGTCACTTTGATATTCTCAAGTGGGCACATCAAAATGGATGCCCTTGGGATGAGTATACTTGTTTGAAAGCCGCTGAAGGAGGCCACTTTGAAACTCTCAAATTGTTGCATGAAAATGGGTGCCCTTGGGATAGCAGGGTATGCTTCGAGGCTGCTAGAAATGGGCACTGGGAAATGATCGAATGGGCACATGAAAATGGAGCCCCGTGGGATGAGCGTACATGTACTGCTGCAGCTGGTCATGCTCACTTTGAAATTCTCAAATGGTTGCATGAACATGGATGCCCTTGGGATGAAAATACATGCTCTGATGCTGCTCTTAATGGACATTTTGAAATGCTGATGTGGGCACACGAGAATGGCTGCCCATGGGATGGGCTTACATGCGCCAATGCTGCAGGGTCTGGCCATTTGAACATTTTGCAATGGGCCCATCAGAATGGATGCCCATGGGATGAGGATACTTGTTTGAAAGCCGCTGAAGGAGGTCATTTGGAAATTCTGAAATGGGCTAGGGAGAATGGGTGCCCCTGGGACAGTGGCTCATGCGAGGCTGCTGCAAAAAATGACCATATGGATGTGCTGTATTGGGCACGTGATAATGGATGTCCAGAGGATGGGTGGAGCACTTACTATGGACTGGATAGAGCAATTCCCTTGTCGAACGAGTAACTGTGGAGAGTGACACAAATCAGCATATGCAAATCACTGCTAAAGCTTCGGGAAGGAGACAAAGTGCGAGTTTCATCCTCAAAAAGTGGACCAACATGAACAAACCTGCTTCGTTTAATCTCAGCGGTAGTCGCGTGCCCTGCGATGGAGGTGATCTCGTGAGGAACGGAACTGCTGTGGGCAACACCTGCAAATCCATCGTCGGCGTCACGAAGACAGCATGCAATCTTGCATCTGCCAAGATGACCTTCGTGCGTGTTGGAGGGTGTTCTTTTCGCTCTTCGGGAAGCGACGACGATGATCAAACGAATCATAATCTTCTAAAAGGATCCCAGGCCATCTCGTTGCCGGCAAATAACCGAAACACAGTCTCAGAGGAGCAGCACGATTCCGCCATCTGATGATTGCCAGCTTGTATCAACGAGTCGAATTTGAGGGTGATCTCGTGTTTTCGTCCTGACCCGAGCAGAAAGCTGCTTTCGTGTTGGGGGCGACAATAGAGCAAAACAGACGTAACTCGACATCATAGCTCAAGCTTCCGATAGTGCCAGGTAGGATTTGCGTGCGTCCCAGACAACAATTGATAGAGGAAACTGTGGAAGTCATTCCTTGCATGGGCAACCAACCGGACGGCCCAACCCCGCGGAATAACGACTTGCATCGCGAGCGCGTACTGGATAAGCAATCGGAGGAGTCTGGAGATCTAAAACAGAAGCAACGCGTGATGGAAGAGTAAGACCTCTAGGAATGGATGAAAATTGAAGTTATATGCGCCATTTCCCAGCGTATTGACGAGAGGCGAACCGCAAGTCAATACCGCACTTCTGTCTTTCTGTGGCCGACTTCGATCGGAGCCTTGCAGGCAACCCCGTCTCGATGTGTCTGGCCCGGAAGCCACGTACGCACGATCGCTCGATACCGGTAGCCCCTTCATTTTGGCCCTCTCGGCCTTCGGTCGGCTGTTTCTTGGGATCGAGAGCAGCAAACGAGGATTTCGAAACATCAAGGCACACGCAGCATTCGAACACCATTCTCCACTCTTACTTTTAATTAAATTCTACTGTGGTTGGCTCCTGGTACTGGAGCGAATTCTTGACTTCTGCAGTATCTGCCCAATTTTGTAGTAAATTGTTGTAGTGTCTGGATGGTTCCTACCCAACACAGACTCTCGTATGACCCGGCACTTCTGGTACTGCTCCAGAGCACCATCGTAGTCGCCTTCGGCTTCCTTGACACCGCCAATTCTATTATAAGTGCTTGCAGTGCCTGGGTGGTCCCGGCCCAACAAAGACTCTTGGATCCCGAGACATTTCTCGTAGTATTCCAATGCACGGTGGTGGTCCCCTTCTGCCTGAAGGGCACTCCCGACCGACTTGTACGAGCTTGCCGTGTCAGGATGGTTCGTGCCAAGGATTTTCTCGCGAATCGAGCGGCTCTTTTGGTAAAAATCCAGTGCCCCTTGCGAATATCCCTTGGCCTCGAGTACCCAACCAATGTTGTAGTAGGATGTCGCCGTATCGGGGTGATTGCTTCCCAGAGCCTTCTCTTGGATCGTCAAACACCGGGGATACATTTCCAGCGCACCATCATAGTCACCCAAGTAGTAGAGCACGGCTCCAATTCGATCTAGAAACTTGGCTATATCCGGATGTTGATCGTCGCCCAATAGTTTCTCCAACAGCCTCAATCCCACATTGAGTTCTTCCAACGCCCCATCGTAGTCTCCCTTGGCACACAGTGCATCCCCAATGCCAAAGTGCGAAATGGCGGATTGTTTGTGATCGTGATTCCCCAATACACTGATGCAAATGTCGAGTGCCTTGCGATGCAAATCCAATGCCGCGTTGTGTTCCCCGTTTTCGCACAAGATGGATCCCACCTTGTTGCAAAAGTCGACATATCCTTCGTCATTGGTGTCTGTCTGTGTCACGACCAGCTGTCGAATGACTTGTTTGACCCAACTCCGTAGCAAATCATTGACCTGACTGTTGAGTACGTGATACCCTACGGACGATTCAATCATTTCCAAAATGGTTTGTCGATCCTGTTCGACGGACGCACACGCGTTTTGGACTTTGGTATTGCCGAGTGTATCGTAGAGCATATCAATGCCTCCTCCATTAGCCAATAGGTCTTGTTCGAGGGAATCCTTTTCTTTGGGAGGCATAATGATATCGACGACACATCCATTGGTGTGTGCCGTAAATAGTTCGTAAATACACCATACTCGCGTGAGATATACGGGTGCTTTCCATGGCGCCATCATGGCTAGTAAGTGTCCAATGCGTTTGACTCGTTCCCCAAAGAGAGCAAAGAAATCGACCTGTGGTTTGGCCGGCATGATGACCCCCGTTTCTTTGAGTGCGGCTCCTTCCACGACTCTGTGTTGATTGACGCATAAACAGCATATCCAAATGTAGGTTCGTTTGGAATCGAGTCCATTGCTATGGCAAAAGTCTGTGAGTGTATCCACAATATCTCCAATCGTGTAGGACCATGAATAGGAGAGCATATGCGTTGCTTCCCCGACATGGTCCCGCCCCTTGAGGCAATGGACGTAGGCAGCTCCCATCCTGCCATCAATGGGACACACAGCATTGGCTCCACATTGTCGAATGACTCCGGGAGGGCCACTTAAGTTTTCAATATCATAGACCTTGAAGGATCGAGTATTGTTGGCACCAACGGAAGCAGCGTATTGAATGCATTGATCCAAAAAGACGTGTTTCAAATGATAGACACTGACACCGAGTATATCGAGTTCGGCCGAGTCGGTTTGTTGGTTGCTGTTTTTGCAATAATTGATATTACTTTTGGAGTAGCATAATAGATTTCGTGAAAGCGACCGACAGACTTGTGCCATGACGGATTTTTTGTATGGCTTGTGAGGTTTGTCGTTTGGAGATGGTTCCAAGAAGGGTCGTTCCATGGTATTGTCGTCGTCAGATTCGGCGGCCGTTTTAAAGGATGTGTTTTGTTCTTTATCAATCAATGCCTTGGACGATGGTTTGTACTTTTGTTGTTGTTGAAAGAGTTCACTGCGTAGATTGTCACTACTTTCGTCGGTTGCTGCTGCTCCTCGTAGCAACAATTGCAAGTTACTGTGTGGATCTTGTCGTGTCAATAAGGACGGAGGTGGTTCTCGGGTGTGACCGGAATTGGTATCTTCATCTTGAAAGACTTCGACCAATGATGAATAGGAATTATCGAATTGATGATCGACACTGGGAATGGGAGGTCGGACGGTGAATCCTTGTGCGTCTTCGGTAGATCTCAATTGGAGGGTCGATGCTCGTCGTGTTCCTTTTGAGGTGGCAGAGCTTCGACGACGTGTAAAGTCTTGGGAGTTTTCAAGTGGATTGTCATTGGGGTTGTCATTGGGGTTGTCAAGATCAACATCTTGCAATTGCTGCTCGGAAGAATCAAAGACATCTGTGAGATTCATGGAAGAATCAAAGTCTGGTCGTTGCTGTCTTAGGTAACTGAAGCGGCCTTGTCTGGAATTCCCTGCTTGTCGTATAGAGTCAATGTACGCCGCCGTACTGTTGGCATTGCCCCCGCTGGCAGTAAAGCTGGCAGTAAAGCTGCTGGAAGAACTGTGATGACTGGTGTAAGAGTCGTCCACCATGGCTTGAGCTGTTGCTGTTGCTTGTGCTTGTACTGGTTGTTCTAGTGCTTGAGCTTGTACCACTTTCAACCTGATGCCAATGTCTTCTTTGATCTTGAGCAAGTCCCGTCTGTCTGGGAGAATGAAATCCCATTTTCTCGCCTCTTTCTTATGGAAGAGGCGTAAGACACTTCGGCCATTGCTCGCCTTGCTGATGCGATGTTTCCAAAGATTCTTCCACGCCACCTTCAGCTTGATGCCATTAGTGCTACATGTAGTAGTAGTGGTACTAGTACTATCAACGGTAGAGTAGAAACCAATGCCTTTCTCGGACAACACCAACTTGCCCCAGTAGCCATCGTCCAGCTCCACAAACACGTCTCGATACGTACTAGTACTACTAGTAGTCATCATCTTCTCATGCTCCTCAGGATGACGACGTTGAGCCGCATGCATCTTGCCTAAGTCGAATGTTGCCTTCTATGGATGATCAACCAATTGTGAGGAGTTACTAGCTAGCTAGCTAGTAGTTGTAATGAGGTGCTGACGGCAGTAATGACCACACCCCCGTTGATTTTATGATGAGAGTCTCTTGTCGAGGCGTGCTTTTCTAAACAGTGCATGCAGCTTACCGAGCATCTCAGACGTCCCTATGTCACTTTTCAGACTGTTATGCATTACTTAGCGTACCAATATGCTACAGTATCCACGTTTTGCACGATAAGTAAACAGTCCCGTGTAAGAAGCCAAACCACCAGCAATATGTCACACCTCCTATGTGCCACAAATTTCGGATCTGCATACAGACTCTCAGTGATTTAACATTCTCAGTGAGCTACTACAAATCAGGTACAAATTACTCAGCTAGTAAATGTCCCAGCTTAATCTTCCACGGTAACAAAATTTTTGATTTGCCGGAGAGTTCTGGTCTCTTTTCACTCTTTTTAATAAAAATTTTTAAAAAGTTAAACAGCTACCGGTACGGTACGACTGTACGATCCAGCACGAGACATGGATCATCGAACGGTGGGTCGATCCATTCATTCAGTTCTTTGACTGATTGCTTGAAGACGCGTGTTGCCGCTTGACCCTACCGTGCAGTATAGACTGACCTCCACATGCGATGATGCGTGCACACACATGAACTGGAGACGGTACTCGCACGACCGTTTGTTCGGAGCAGCCAGCTACTTTGGTTGACCTTTCGACTTGGCCTTGACCCGAATGTTACGTAGCTCTCCACTTTGGGGATGGAATACATGTACGTGCGGTAGAGACAGATTCGTGCTTCGCACCGTAGCTCCATGATGGAATCGAAGCAATTCAATCATTCAACTCCACTACCAGCCAGCAAAACGGGGCGATCAGTTCCTCAACAGGATCGGAAGAACAGCCAGATGAAGCAACATTCGCTCCTTGTCTCCTTCTTCAAACGCTGCCTCAGTGGCCACGTGCGTAGCTACGAACTTGAAATAAAGAAACGTAAAGCTAGAAACCACGCAAACGGGCGCCTGAGGTGCGTGGGGTGCAAACGTACCGTACCCTTCACCAGCGGGGCTGGCTGGGAGCTCGCTTTCTTGGCCGTACCGGCCGGTACCCATCGTCCAGCCATGGCTGCATGTTACCGTATGATTGAGGCAGGGTGCCTTCTTTTCACAGAGGGCCTTGGGGGTGTGCGAGCCTGCTGAAAAGGGAGATCTCGAACTTCGAGAATGGAGCGAGACAGGAGTGAACCCCAAATCTCGCAACCTCAACAGTACGGGTCCGATCTTGGTTGCCATCATACCGGTACGTCACTCGACTCATTCAGACTGGACATCGCTCGATATCCTCAACGATGGGCCTACAAGCAACGTACAAGCAAGGTCCCGATGCAAGCAGTATGTAGCTGTGCAGCCATTGCAATCGCAGCCATCTCAGACAAAGGAAAGTGCTTTTACCACTGGCTGGATGGCTTCAAAAACCAATCTACCGGTATCAGAAACTCAGAAACCAATGATGGATCTTGGTTGCTGCAGCTCGCCTGGCATGGAAGGCAGATCTTAGTTATCCAGTTATCCATTCTTTCTAGCTAGTAGACTACTAGTAGCTACTCCTGGTACGGATGTTTGCAAGCATGACCGGTACTGGCTCTCGTCAGCTATCGCATCAAGCTCCAGCTCATTTTGCCATCCATCTTCTTTGCGACAGACTTGTTTCTTTGCGACAGACACCGGTAAACTGAAGCAGCGCACAGTGACAGCTGAGTTGCTACGAACTCCGAATGGGAAAGCTTTTAGCGGAAGCCTTAATCCACTCTGCCCACTACCGGTACCACATGCGTCTACTCGAGTACAAGCTACCACTCCAGTAGAATCTTGCCAGCTAGCACGAGATGACATTGTGGAGTGTAGAGCGCACTGTTGAAATAAATGATCCGTTTAGACTTACATTACGAACTTGCTATTTAATAATCGGGAAACAAACACAGTTGCTCTGCCCTCCACCCAAGAAAGCAGCTCTCGGCTGAGGTAGCTGCTGAGGTGCAGAGCCCCCCAATGATTTTCAAGACTATGCAACATCAAGCTCGGAGGAACTGTAGCCGGACGACGCCAACGAAGCAAGCTTCCGATTCATTTGGCCTTCTCAGTAACGCCGAACGACGACCAGCCTGACCCCTGAGAAGGAACAAGTTACACAGTGTCCAGTACCGGTAGCTAGTAGCAGCGCTCAGCTGTCAGCTTAGCTCTCCGAACGTGTGGAGAGTTGCGAGGCCTCTATTAATATTAGCAAATATGTTGCCCAAAACCACCCCCTTGACGGCTTCCGTACCGGGGTATGGAGCAGCTTTCGGACTATGCTAATGTGTTTCATCACATTGCGTACTTTGGCGTATTTAGAGAATTAGTAGCTACAAGAGCTTTACAAGTTACAAATAGCTGCTCTAAGCTTCTGCTTGTATCATCACACTTATTCACAGCGTAACTGCACGTAAAACGAATCTGCATTATTGGAACCCCAATCCCGTAGTTTCCCCATACCCCCGTACATCACAGCTAGCTTTCCCACTACAATTCCCTCTCTCAAGTCTGAACCCTCCTTCTATCTCGAGTCCTACTATTTGAAAGGTTGTCAGCGTTAATTATATTTCGCGGTACCGGTACTGGAATTCTAGCTAGAAAACCCCAGGCAGACGCACAAAGAGCTTGCAATGTCGCTCCAAGACAAATAAATAAGTGCAATGAGAGAACGAGTGGAGGTGAAATAGAATATATCTTACTCTTGGTTTCCCCTTTCTGGCTATCGACGGATTTATATGCATACCTGAAGACCTACAGTAACTGGCCAGCGTGAATACTATTTTGGCGCGAATCTAGTACTGTTAACTATCGAAATACCGGTCCGTGGTAAAACATACCCACACACCAACTCGAGATTGAAGCATAAACAAGATTCGCAGAGAACCCAAAACAAGCCAATTGCACCCCATACCAAAACACCAAACGATCATACCAAATGATAAGTGGCTGGGTGGGTGCCAAAAGAAGCCGCTATTTGTCACAATGTCATCTAGTACGACCAGCTGCCAGTTGAAAGAAGAATGGGTCCATTGCTTGTGTCATAATTGTCGCCTTCATCATTTTCGTCATTGTCATCATCTTCCTCCCTGTCGATGGTGGCTTCTTCGTCAATGCTTCCTTCTTCCTCGCTGTTTGTTTCCTCGCCATCCTCGGACGTCTTCTGCTTCTTCTTGGGGCTCTCTTCTTCAGTGCAATCCTCTTCAGTGGCATTATCTTCAGTCACGACAGACGTATCGGCAACAGTGTACTCAGCAATGTTTTTGGCTGGGTTCGTAGCAGTGTCTTCGACCGTGTCTTCAGTATCATCATCGGCGGTGCTCTCCTCAGAGCTGCTGCCTTCAGTACTATCGGTGTCTTTTGGCTCAGTCATGAAAGGACGACACAAGATCTCGTCAATCTCTCCATCAATCTTCGCGTATCTGGAATTATCAATCACTGGTGACAAGGCCGAAGGCTTTCGGTCCTCGAACCCGGCAATCGCTGGGACTTCACTGGTACCTGAGTCATTGTCAATGACAGGTTCGAAATCTTCCTTGGTGAACCTCTGGAGAGGCCTCACTGCTAAAGGCGAGTCTTCAGGGGACGAAGCTTCATTGTCAATAAGACGCTCCATTCTGCGAAGGTTAATACCACCCATGTTGACCTCATCACTGCCCGTGCTGGATCCTTCGACCTCCTCGGTGAGCAAGTCAACATCGCCCAACCATCGATGGTACCGATTGATGTACTCATCCTCGTTGAATTCCCAAATTTCACAGAACCGGGTAGTCTTGTGAGCTTCAGTGAAGGGATCCGGCATGATCAGCTTCAGCTTGAAAAGTCGATGATACATCGAGGGATCAGGGAAATCGTTGGTGAATGGGAACATCAATCTGCTTCCATCTTCCAACTGGTACATCACCCAGAACACTCCGGTCATGTCGTCTCCATAGACAAACGCATTTATGGGAGGGTATCCGTTAGCCCGACGCTCTTGGTTGATCTTCAAAAGCTTCGCATTGGCATCTGCTTGCAAATCCATACCACATGCCATCATTTCTCCCAACTTCTTGGAGCAGTAGGCGAGTTCATCTTGGTATTCCTCGATGGTGAAGTGTTGCACAACCTTGTTGGCTTTGCTTGACCGACGCATGCTAAGTCTCGGGATAGGTGCTCGCACAGAAGGGGCATCTTTCAGGTAGTGCGACATCTTGATGAAGGTTTTAGGGAACAATGACTATTTTGGCAGCTCTGAAGGAAGGGACCTGAACGGCAGTTTTGTGAAGTTGCTGGAACCCAACAACCAACCTGATTGCAACAAAGTCGCGGCGGCGACTCCAATTGGAGTTGGCCCCTGCTCAAATTTACACCACGCATTGGTGTTGATCTACCCAATGACATTGGCAATCGGCACACACATGTCTTCGTGTTGAGCTAAAATTTATTTTAGAAAACCTACCACTTTGTTTTCTCACATCTTACGCATTGATTGCCCACAAACTCGATAGTGCATTGTTGCTATGCAGAAGGTACACAAGTCGGAGATACATTCCTTTTTACTTTAATGCCTTAGATAGTTCTGATCAGTGACTGCAATCATGTGCAGCATACATGCATCACGTTGCAATTGGCTCACTTGTTGTTTTCCTTTTCCGGCACGGAAGCTTGTTTCATCTTACCTGCAATATTCTTTACGATCGCGAAAGACGATTCTGGCTCTCTGGGACCGGCCAATAGCATTGCACGATGTCCAGTAGGGTTGTCGTAAAACGATAGCAGAGTGTCCCTATGAATTCCAGGTAGGAACTCAGTGGTAGGTGCACAAGAGCTGGGATGGAGAGCCCTGTTTGGTGGAGATCTCCTTCCACTGGCGCTGGAAAGGCCAGCCACAAGGCTGGCAGCCAATGCTATTCAATCTTCACTGTGGAAGCAATGATTGAACAGTCTTAAAAAAAAGAGAGATGAAAGGAAGTCAGCCTTCATTCCAACCCCTGATGGCAATGGTGGTCTTCAAAGTCCCCAGAGGTGGCGGAGAAGGTGGCAACGCAGGCCTTCCAGGCAAGCCCTTTCGTTCCAAGCCGGATGCCACGGCCTATCCTACCCTCAAATCCAACAAAGACTTCGACCAGTGATATGAGTCCTTTATCACTGTGGCTAGAGGAAAGGGGTTTCACAAGATCTTTTGATGCCGACTATGTCCAAAGCAGGCACCGAGTCCATGGAGACATACGATATCATTGTTCACCTGTTTCACAGAAGACAGTGCAGGACCACCAATGGAAAGGTAATCGTGAGGTCCCAACTCCTTTCCATGAAACTCCTGACTGCTTTAGTCCATCCACCGCAAGGATCCAGGCTGAACTCCTCTGACTCACTGTCTGTACGCAGAGTTACCTCTGTCTCGCGAACAGTAGGAGACGACTGCAGCAGGAAGTGGCTTACTAGTGTGCAATACAGCCCAGAGGAGCAAGGTTCCGTAGTGGACTCTCATTGTCAATTTGACACAGTTTGTTACCCGATACAATGATGGCCCAGAGACTCCAGTGATAGGCTACCTGATGGTATACAGAAGCTTGTTCTTCCAGCGGGCCTTCACTGGTGTCCCCACCTTGAACGACATTTCTGCACGGTTAACATGAGAGAAGTATGTTCGAGGGTCATCATGCATCGTTTTACATACGCACGGGTACAAAGAGGTGCTACTGAATGCCCGCACACATTCTTTGACATCAAACCGAAAGATGATGACTCACGTCTGCCAACATAGCCGACATTTGAAGACGAGACATCAGGGTGATGTGGGAGCAAGTAAGTAAAAGTTCCACACGCCTTCCTGACGCTACAGTCTGGTCCCAGCTTCCAGCAATGGACCAGTTTTGGTACAGGTCTCTCTGTCGCTGACAAGAGAGTCCTGATGGAAGCCACCGTCGAACCAGATGTCAGACCTGGTGGATCCGAAGGCGAAGCTGACCCAGCAGTCGGGGAGCACCTTAGATTCTCCAGATGCACAGATGTGTGACTGCAGCCGTCCAAGGCCAAGTCCAAAGACTGGAATTTTTCGCCTGGGCAACAAGTGGTTTGTGTCGCACTGGTTGAGCAAGTACCCAGGCACCGCCATTGGCTGCGGGTAGCAGCCACCCTCTAGGGGCACCTTCCGCAGGACATGGCCCAGTAGACAAGTGTTTGTGCTAAAATGTCATCTCCAGGATAGTATCAAGTACAAATTGTTTTGTGAAACATGTTTTTGGTGACTCCACCCTCCGCCCTGATGGCACTCCCTTCACTTTCCGGGTGATGGGGAGAACTTAAACTGTGTCACCCTCAGCAAAGGTGCAAGCAGTCGGGCTAGAGCAACACCCACCCAAGCTGATTGGCTGTGGAATGAGCCACATGCCATGTATGTGACAGGACCTGCACACGGTCCATACCCAAGCAAGCACCAAGTTAGTCGTGTCTCTGAGACGGGATCTCTTTGAACCCATGTAAAGAGATGGTAAACTTGAGGAGACGTCTACGAGGTGTTGCCTTTAGCTGAGGCAATATCTGATGATAGGACAACAGTCCCACCTCATAGGATGACAACCCGTCATCTAACTACCCAGTTGAGGGCTCCAGATGAACAGTTATGGCCAGATTGTTCTCACTGGCCCTTATGGGGAGTTAGACAGATACCTCCTAAGCCAATGAGCTGTGATGCAAGTATGGGGAGACCAGATGAGATCCCAATTGACGGTCAAATGGACCAATGCCAATGCACCCTTCTCCCCTGAACACGACTGGAGGTTTGATCACAAGCCCATGTGATGCCCTCCCAATGTGCCCAGTGGTACTCAGCAATGGACACCTGATGTATTCAAGAGGGTTGGTAACCCCTGGTATGCGACCAAAGTCCGCACTGAGCAGTCAGATGCTCCCAGTTCATGGAAGTATCAAGGGAAGCCCCATGATGTGCAAGCTTGGTGGCACCCCATCCATGACTCCAATGGTGGGAGCGATGAGATTATGCCATAGGAGCCATAGTATGGGTGCGGCGCAGCTGTGCTGGCTCAGTCTGGTGGAAAGATCGCTGCTGCATCTGTACACTCTTTCAGTACAATGAGCTGTGTCACCATCAGACAAGATAGGAACAGCTGTAGAGGACATAGAGTTCCTCTGCAAGGAAGGATGAGTGCAGCTCCTCACCATGACCTATCTAGAAAGATAGCTTGGTATATACCAGCAAAAGAGATGCATGGATCTGTATCTGCATGGCTGGATGGAGTTTCACGCAAAATCAAGTTTGTGTTTATATTATAGTTTAAAGAAGTAATGAAGAAGTAGTTTACCAGATACAGACCCAACAGCACAAGTAAGAGCTCTGCAGTAACAGGATCCTGTATGGCCAGTCCAGGGTATTGAGCAATTGA